TTCTAGCCTTCACTTTTGACTATCCTCTAGTGCTTCTTTCACATTAATTAGAGTAGTCCATTGTGTATCTTTCTCAAGGCACTGCTCCTCCAGTGTTTTTATAGGTGTTGGCTGAAAGAAGTAATGAAACACAACAAAAACGTTTTGCATAGTTAAAATCTTGCAACTCTTGTTTAGTTATTAGATATTTGCCCTTGTTTACGCTGAAGAATCATTTGGAATAGTTTTCTAGAAATCATAGATTATCTTAAAATGGGCACACAAAAATACTGCAGCCTTTTTCCAAGAACCCCATCTAATGAGAAACGGGGAAATTGGAAAAGGAACTCCTTTCATTTCAATGGTTTTCCTTGCTTAATTATTGTATGAATAAAATGTGAAAATAAGCCAAAAATACACAGAAAGGTGCCAAAATGTGAAGATGTCGAGGAAAGGGAAAGAAAGTGCTTGCATTGAAAAATGTTGAAGAATGTTTATATCATGTTAACTTTGCAAGAGGCTCATAAGGGCATTATGAAAGGGTGGAGGGAATAAAGTGTAGCACCTTACAATTCCTAGCTTTGGTTATAACACTGCAGCCTCTTATTTTTTTTAACTATTGGTACCTTGATACATTTTCAGTTCTATTTGTGTGTATTGAACCTGTTCTATTCCACCTCTAATCATTCACTTTCTCCAACAAATTTTTAGCAATATAGAAGTTATCCAAGTACAAATAGTATGCAATTTAGGGAAGATTCTCTGTTAGACAGCACTACTGATAACTTATGACTATCTGTTCTCTATTCACATTGAATTCCCATGGAAGAGTTGAGAAAAATCTCGGTTAAAAGCGGTTACAATGTCCAAAGACACTGATTTGGACTGCAGATTTGGATTACTTCCACCATTGTGAAGGTCATATAATAATCATATAAGATTTATATTATTATTACAATAAAAACATTTTCTCTGGATGCTCACCAAAATTGAATATCTAATCAGAAGTGTTCTCATTTGCAATCAATGTTTCTTCCTTAGTCTTTTATTAATCCAATGTATTAATTGTTGTTTCTGATTTCGATTTTGATAAATTTTGAGTTACACATTTCAAACTTTGAAATTGTTCCTGAAACTACTTATTTATCCACTTCATGTGATATAATCTTCTTTATGTTCCCTTGGGCTTGAGGTAGTCATTCTCCAGACAAAAGATCAAGTTCGGTTTCTTTGACTCCCCTACTATCTTCTTTTCAAATATTTTAGATTGGAAAAATAACTGTGCTATCTCACAAAACAGGATATAGAAGATCTGCAATCTCATTCACAGGCAATGTACAAAGTACATTTTTTACTCTGCTATTCAGTTCACCTCATCCTCTTTGGGAACATGCTAATTTGCAAGTTTATAATAATAGCAAGTTAAAACAGAGCCAGAATTTGAAAGATTGTAGAAACATGCTTTTGAAATACCAATAAATAAAGATTTAATTATCTAACATTATGGGTGAAATTTCTCCATCGCAGGGACAGAATATGTAATGAAGACACTCTTAATACTCATACTTCATGATGCGGCGGGTTGTGTAGAGTGGCCTGTTCAGGGTTGCTTGAGTTAGCATAAAATCAACACGCACCTATATGCACAGATATATGTACGTTTCCATTGTACTATGCCTATATTCTTCCCCCAAGTGCAATCAATAAGTTGATAAAGTTTTATCACAATGGGATGAACTGTATGGCAGTGCATTAAATACAAACCAACAAACATTGTTGTTTATATATTAGGTTAATGCGAGTTATTACATACCATAATTTTTGACAGGTTACAAAATATAATTGTGATTAATAATGTATTGTAAGTGATTCAGTAGGCCATTGTGATGTGCATGGTCAACTACCTACTCCCTAACAACTACATTTGAAATGAAATTATTGACAAATATTATAGTCAGTATTAAAGGTCCTGTTGTCTTATTTATGTCAAAGCCAATATTCAGCAAGAATTGCAGTTTCTCTGGTAATTCATTTGTGCAACTTGCACTGTAAAAGGTGAATTTGATAATTGTTTGAAACGTGTAGAAAATAGAAACAAGTTAACAATCAATTATGCTTCTTCAATTATATTTAATATTTGCAGGGTCAAATTTCTAGGTTACTTCATCCTTTTATGTTCTTCTCAATACATCTAGTCCCATCAACCAGCTTTGTTCACTCCTAATGAAGTGAAGTTCCATTATGAGTAATGTGTCAAGGTACTAGATATTTGGAATTCTACTATCAACAAACTTTCACAATATCAGAAATAAGTAGTTAACTGGTATTGAATTTTTCTAAACAACACATTAACAAGCCAAGAAATTACATCTGTTTGTGGAATACTGTGCCAGCATGTGAGTCATAAAATTCATTATCATGGGTGCATTGAAGCTTTTTTATGTTATGAAATATTTGATAGTATTGTTGGAACTTTTTTAAAATTTGATGTGGTTAGATAAATCTTGCTTTGGGTTATCAGGAAGTATCCAATATTTTGTGTTATGTATGTCTTACGTAATTTATTGTTTTTATAGTTTTCTAAATTTAAGAAAGTAGTGAAATGAGTTCAAAGAAGTAATAGAAATAAATATGCAAAATTATAAAATTTGAAGATAGTTAAAATTAAAGTTAAATTCTCAGATAGAATTCAGTACATTTTGGTTTTTGGTTTCCTTTGAACATGTTATTTAAGTACAGTTTTTAGTAAAGTTGCTATTATTCAAAGCATTTTTCTACTTTAATCTCTCAGTATATTAGTTTTTATGTTCCTGGCATTTGTGGATCCTTTTAAAAATCTTTTTCCTAAAAATTATGCCAGGACAATTGTTATCTGATGCATTGAAACTATTTTACATATTCAGTTTTTATTTATTATGCCTAGTAATGTGGTGAATCTTGCTGTAAGGTTTGTTTTTGATTCAAATTGTCAACTAGAAAGGACCTGAAGAGAAAGTAAAATAGTGTTTTCGTAAATTCAAAAAACTTTTGTAGTTTGTTTTGTATCTTATGGAATACTATATTATCTGTGCTTTGAAGAGGTAGATGGAAACAAGTAACTTATAATGTGTGGTTATTAGAAGGAAAAGAACAGTTGGACAGCTAGCTATATATAAGAAACAATGTACGGAATTTTTTTGTAGCATTTTAAAAATATTTGTCTTAAATCAGTCAAAAAATTCCAAACATTATAATTTAGGCTGTGGGGACCATTAAATTAACATTAAAATGAAAGTCAGGAATGATCATTATAATAAAATATTTTAAAAATATACACTACAATCTCTCGTAGAACAGAAGAACATTGCAAAAGTATTTTTCTTACCCTTTCACAAAGTTAAATGTTCCCAGCAGAATGTTAGAAACTTGAAAATATTGTTTTATTTTGGATAATAGCAACATTGTTTTCCTATTGCTGGAGAAAACCTATTTTTCATTTCACTACAATGTTTATTGTTCTTAGACAATACTAATTATATACTAGTTATGAATTATATACTTCCGTGCCTCATATGAGGAAGAAATTTTCTAATAGAATGCACAGTCTGTGTGTTGCACTGAGTGTCGCACTGTGGTTGCACCTGCGTGTGTCAACATGGTCCGCATTTTTAATTATAAGTTTGTAAATTAAAGTTATGTGAAATATTTTGAAATATTCTGGCTTTATGTGATCATTTTTAATTTGTTTGTGTTTTCTCCTTGTGTAGATAGCAAATTATATCAAATGTTATATGCATCTTGTAACATACAACTTGTACTCGATGTTAGTGATTCAGTCATTTGCTTAATCTTCGCTGATGATTCAGTTGAGATGCATGTTTTCATGTTTACACTAAAGCTTGTTGAATCTTGCTATGATTCATACGCATCTTAGCAAGTAGGATCTAATGATTTGTATCACATAATTATTTTATTCTCTTTGTGTCAGAGTGATTTGCAGAATTTTTGAAAAACACCAAATTGCTAATTAATGTTGGATCACATCTATATTAAAACTTTTTTGTTGTAACAGCGACTTGGCACATAATTCGTAATAATATAATTTAACAATGGAATGAATTGTAAAGTTATGTTAAGTGTTCTTGTGATTGTGGGTGTATTTCATGTGTTGTCAGTGTGAATATGCATCATTGATGCAGTAGTTGTGATTTCATGTTCACAGGGGTTGGTTTACAGTTGTTTGTGGTTGGACAAAATGTGACGTACACTTGGATATTTAATCTTTGTCAAAGCAGCAGATACAAATGGGGCTATGAACTTTTACAATATCTATTGTTACTAATATTCATAAATATGTTTATTTTGTGAAAATTCCAAATTTTTGTTAACATTTTCTTAGATATTGAAAGTTTTTTAAATTATCTAACAATTTAAAATGCTAACTACATTCTGTGAATTAAGAAAAGGATAAAATACTATTTAACTGACACATACTTCCATTCGTTGTTTTGTCCAGCCATTCTGTAATGTGGCTTGCTAGAAATATTGCAGTTTATTGAGAATGTGTGCTGTGTGCTTTAACAAGGCTTTCTATTAACTAAGCTACACTCCTTCTTGTTTCTGTTTGACTAATTTTTACAACAGTGTGAAGGTTGATTGACTACTACACAAATGGTTCTTTATCCATACTTGTCCATGAGTGATCCTTATATGCTTTGTGTCTTTATGATAGAGTTTTAAAATGTTATTTTGGTAAAAGTTCATTCTACATTGAAGTAAGACACATTAAATATGTTTCAATCAATTAAGGTTGTAAGGACAGGTGTTCAAAGTTGTGTGTAGTAACATATTTTTGAAGAGTTAATTTCCATATTCATTTAATTTATCCTTGTATGGAATTTATGACTAATGTCCTGTTTGCGATTATTTTGGCCACTTTTCTTTTTGGCCAAGCCTTTGTCTGAGATTTGTGGCACAGATACGAGTGGATATGTGCCCTGAGAACTGAAGTGAATTGCGGCTTGCGCCTTGTGTGTTTGCAGGGAGCAAAGAATGCAGTGGGAACCCTGAGGGAGGGAGTCTTCCCACCTCAGCCCCCACGAGTCCAACGAGCGGGGTTGGTGTTCCCCCTGCCTCGCTAGCACGGAACCCCTTGCGAGGATCAAAGTGTAATCTCTTTCTCTAACTCGAAACCCCCTTAGAATTGCTTGGCAAGGTTTAAACGATATTTGTAGTGTGCATGCTTACATTTTGAAATGTGTGAAATGTTGCATTAAAATTTCTTCTGAAATGTCTTTTTATAAGAAAATGAAGACTGAGATATAGATAGTTATTTGCCTTTCTACTAATGCTTTGAAACAAGAGTTAAGAAACAGTGAGAAAGGCTGGAGCATGTCTTGTAGAGCCATCAATTTTTGTGTGCTTACTGAGTGATCTGAGATTAGGTATATATGACACTAGCATGGAAATCATAGGGCTCATGTAGACCCTTTGATACTAGGATAATCGATTCTTTGCTTACATGTGTACATTAAGTTTTTTATCTTCAAAAGGACCTTGTCTACATTTGCTGCATGGAGGGGATACCTCCCACTGAAAAAAGTTGGTTCTCCACTGAATTCCCCTCCGTGCACCAACTTCATCTGGTATCTTTTAAACCTTGCTGGGCTATAGCTCTCTAGATAGGGTTCCGACTCCATTCTTACAAACATTTATGCTTTCGCTTTTTTGCATTATTTGCTTGTGCTTTCTCCTTTAATGTTGTACCTTACGCAGTGGAAGAGGAATACATTTTTGTACTTGGATAATGCCTGCGATATTTTTATTGACTCCTGTATTGCCAGCCACATGAAAAGACACACAGACTTATAGATGTCTTTAAGTTTCTTTTCACCAAATCTGTTGCTATGTGACTCTATTTTCATTGTATATCCTTAATATATGCTTGAGACTGTATGCTTGTGTCTATTGCTTTTCTGCATTAACTGCCTGGGATGTACCTCAGAATTGCAAAATGCACATCACTAAGTTTCTAAGATGGTAATGTTGCTACCAGTGACCCACTTAGTGAATTCAAAAAACAAAAAATGGATATCCTGCCTTGGAGTTTGTGTCAAGCAAATTCATATTTTTTTTGCACTTTTTTCTTTCTCTCCATTCTACAGAGGTGTACAAGTTTGAAAACTGATTGAGATCTTGGCTATGTTTATGCAAGTAGAAAGCTTTTACCCCAAGGTATTATTTTTGATATAGTTTAAAAGATGTTTAAAGTTTCTCTGGCTAATCATTACCCTTCCACATAACATTTTTTAACAGTATTTACAATTGCATTCTGGTTAGAAATTGTCATTTCTACAGTATCTGTTGCAAATATTATCAGTTAGAACATTTTCAAATTATCATTTTTGCTTTTGCTGCTGTATTAAATTAGACGAATGCTCTGTATGCATAATTTTGAGGCTATTATTGCATAACAAAATATTTGTTTCGTACAGATCTTACAATTATCTTAGTTGATGAGGATGCTGTGTAATTATAGTAATTATTTTCCTACTGTTTCTTCTGTAAATTTGGAAGATTTAAACTGATTTTTCAGTTCTTTAGTCACCTTGTAGTTATCACATAAATCATTTTTGTGTGTGTATGTCACATACTGCATGTGTGACTGCATTTTAAGAAGATTCGTAATAAATTGTAGTAGATGTTTAAAATATTGAAATGTTAAATCGTAAATGAGTAGCTGTCATGATTTATAGGAGGTTTTTTTGTGTTATTTTGCACCCCATTGTGTGATAGAGTACAGTTCATTTAGAAGAATTTTCATGAATTTAAACTTCAGTAAATTTTAATGGGGTGAAGTATCAATACTGCCCAAGTCCTGTTTTTTTTTAGCAGATAATTTGGGTCTTCACATTTGGTGTGTCGCAGAATCAGGGACTTCATGGAAGAAGATTGTAGGTTTAATCCAGATTTCCCTAAAAATGTGACCTGTTTTCTCCTCTCAAGGCTGATGTATTCTTGTGCCTGTCCACTGCCCAAACCCTCAGTGTTGGCGGGATGTCTTGCAGGTACAGCTTATAATTTGGGTTTTCCTTCTGTTTTTGTGTGGGGTGGGAGATAGGTGGTATTTTTCTGATAGCTTGTTGACTCTTCCAATATAACAATACAATATTAAAATTTAAATAGTTTATATTTGCTTAAAATATTTAATTTTATATATTTTTACATATATATATATGTGTGTGTGTGTGAATGGCATGTCTTTAATATAGGGTAACTTTTAATATTGTATCTTGTTATGTGTGGAAGCCTTTATTTCTTGTGATCAATGGACTGACTTTTATTTCTTTTCTCCTTGCTGACCAAATCTGTGGAAAACAGGGGATTCTCCGACTTGGCCCCCTCATGCTAGTCTCTCATCTTGGACTGCAGGTGTCTTGAGTTTCTTGCTCTCTCCCCCTGGTGCACTTGCTTGGCAGACATGCTTAGGCCAGATTCTGATGTACTGAATATTTGATTCAGGATGAAGAACCTTTCTGTGCAAGTGGTGTCATTTATTCTTCCCCACAGAAATATCACACGTTATAAGTAATTAATAAAAAAATTAAATAAAAACAAAACTAAAAACAACCATGTGTATCCAAGGAAGTGTATGTTATATAGTTAAACTTGGAAATAAAGAACAATATGAAGTTAAATGAAAGGCGTTGTTTCATTATCTCTGCATTATTATTTTCAAAGGAATCGAATTAATTGTGCAAGGTATATAAAATTTTGTTTAGATGCGTATGTGTTATAATGTTAATTGTTAATTTTTGGAGACATCAGGTGATTTTCATGTTTATCAATACTGTGAATCTTGTAATTAAATTTAACATAATGCAATTTTACTCAACACTACCATTCCTGTTGCAGTCTAATGAAGATAGAGCAGAGTATTTGAAAATTTAATTTGTTTTTAAAGCATGTATAGTAAATACACTTAGAGAGGTTTTCACAGTTAATTAGTAGTGTTACCAATTAGTTTTCAGAAAAGTGTCTATATAAGTGCATGTTAGTAGACTAGTGTTAATTCTTTTTTTATTTAGCATTTTCCAAATGGATAATTCAAAGTAAATTTTTCTAGATATGTCCTCAATTTCATGTTACAAGAACAGCCTTTCATGATTAATTTAAACCATATACTTCTACTGAATGTGTTCTACTAATATTCTTGATTATATTTATAGACATTATTTATGTTTCAAGAAATTACATGAAATTATTTGATTACTTTACCTTCAGATAGCTTGCTAAAATATTTATTCCCAAAATACCTTTCTTTGTCACACATGGCAATAAGGGAATTGTGCATTTTAGTATATGATGTGAGAACATCACTTGCAATGATATCCAAGCACTTGCACCACTTAAGTAGTTACACAACGCACTTGCTTTATCCTTACAGTTTTCTTGTTTTGCTAGTTCTCATCCCTTTATGTTTATGTAGCAGGCAAATTCCCTAAATAATAAATTAATGTAGTTTTTCCCTTCTTTAGAAGCTCATTTTATCATTTCCCTGTTTTATTTTATGCAACAGTAAATTTTAAAATATTCTATTAAAATAAGGGAAAGAGTACAAAAATGGTTGTAATAATTTCCTTAATAATGAAATGACTGATGATATCATAGCTTCTACATTTGATTGCTTCCTTTTTTAAAATAAAAATTCCTATTTAAAATTTTTCTTGATCGTTCAGAATTGATTTTATAT